GCTCTTGGATCTAGGGAGAGGGAGGGGAGGCTGGGGAGGGAGCGCTCAGCACCCCAGGGTGGGCTGGTTTCTGACTGGTGGGGGGCATCCCTGGGCACACTGTGGTCCCCTGAGACAGTGACGCAAGTCTAGGCTTCAGGAGGGGTTCTGAGGAGTCGACTGCCCAGAATGTTCTGGGGGAGGGAGCGAGGGTCGGGGTGGGGCTGGCAGGGTGGAGCAGACTTACGTGCCGGACCCTCAGGTCTCGTACTGTCCAGTTCTCCAGCACCTTCTCACCCTCCAGGGCCACTTGTAGGTGCCCATATGTGCATGGCTGGGCGTCTAGAGGCCAGTAGTACTCACACTTCACCTGGGGGACGACTGAGAGGTCAGAGAACCTGTCCTGATGCCCGTCTACACCGGGGCTCTTGTACTCAGTGCCTGGTGATGAGGCGAGACCTACCGGCAGCCAGGTATAGACTCATCCCAGCCAGGAGGACCCCTCCTTCTCAAGGCCACTGGGTTATACGGACCAATGGATGGGCCGAGGGTACTGGAGGAGGTTGGGGTCACATGGGAGGTCAAAGCTCAACACCTAGACCCTGCGGATCCCTCACCCGGCCAGACTCCACACAGTTGGTCAGCATGACCAGGACGCGGCTCTGCTGCTCCCACACCAGGCGCCAGAAGTCAGCCACCGTCTGGGGCAGGGGGCCCTGGGCTGCAATGAACTCACGGGGGCCCCAGAGACCCTGATGGGAGAAAACAGGCAAGTCACAACCCCCTCCAGTCCTTCTCTGCTCAGCTTTGCTCAACGCCCTCCCGGTTCGCAGCCACAACCTTACAGGTATGAAGCTGGCGTTGATGTAGTCGGAGCCTGGTTCCTCCTGGTGGGGCTTCAGGGACACCCGGGACCAGTCGTCTAGAGGAAGAGGCCAGCATTAGTGAAGCAGAGACAGGCGTGGGAGACCCAGGAAGGTATGGAGACAAGACTGAGACCCAGGGACTGAGGGCACACAGGCTCTGGGAGCCCTAAGAAGGGTGGATTGACTTCAGCAGGGAGGAATGGGCCGGGTGCCCTCCTCACAGTGGGTAAGAGCTTTGTGTCCCATAGGGAATAAGGGAAGGGGCCAGGGATGGGGTATTGACAAAGTCACGGCCAGGGGTAAAGTCAGCAGAGGCCTTAAGACTCACAGGGCAGCACATTTCGGTAACGGTTCTTGGCACTGTTTTCGAGGGCTGAGGCCACCATTTGAGACTGCTTGGTGCCCTCCAGAGCCAATCGCTGCGGGCAGAAGCAGAGAGGGGGGGGGGAGCATGGACCCTGGAGTCTCTCCATCTTCCCCGGAGGACACCCCCGTTCAGCACCGCCCCACTCACCCCCGCGCCCTGGAATTCTGTAGCACCCGCAGAAACGTGTACCATCACCCTGCAGGGCATTGGGGAGGCTTGGGGGCAGTGGGGACCAGAGAGGTAGGCGACAGAAGACACAACATGGGGAAACCAACGTGTTTCCTTAGGGCTGACCCGAGGGCGCGTTAACGGTGTCACAGGCGAAAACATAATTGTGCCTGAATTTTTTTGCATGCACAAAGAAAGGTGTGGCAAGGTCTGGGGTGGGCACGTGGGGCTCAGCTCAGCCCCTCGCTCGTCACCACACCTGGTACTCCACTGCGAAGCCTCTGTTGTCATCCTTCTCGTTCTTCCTCACGTGGGCAGCAAAGTCTTGTGACGGGATGTTCTCCAGGAGGCTGTGGGAAAAGGGCAGAGTTTAACTTCCCTTGGCCCTGTGATCTTGGGATAAAAGAAAGGGCTTTTTTTTTTAAGTTTATTTTTATCTATTTTGAGAGGCAGAGAGCAAGCAGGGGAGGGGTAGAGAGAGAGAGACAGAAGCCCAAGCAGGCTCTGAGCTGTCAGCAGAGTCCACCATGGGGCTTGAACTCACAAACCGTGAGATCATGACCTGAGCTGAAGTCACTGAGCCACCCAGACACCCCTGGGCCTTTTTTTTGGGGGGGGGGTCGCTCTTTATTTCTTTTGACCCCCTTCTCCCGAGTCAACTACCCTCCACCCTCTGCCTCGGGCAACCAATATCTGTTCTCAGGTTCTATCAATTCAGTGTTTTAAATTTTTTTTTTTTAATTTTTTTCAACGTTTATTTATTTTTAGGACAGAGAGAGACAGAGCATGAATGGGGGAGGGGCAGAGCGAGAGGGAGACACAGAATCGGAAACAGGCTCCAGGCTCTGAGCCATCAGCCCAGAGCCTGACGCGGGGCTCGAACTCACGGACCGCGAGATCGTGACCTGGCTGAAGTCGGACGCTCAACCGACTGCGCCACCCAGGCGCCCCTAAATTTTTTTCAAATATGGGGCACTTGGGTAGCTCAGTCAGTTAAGCATCAGACTTAACTTCGTCAGACTTGATTTCGGCTCAGGTCATGATCTCCCAGTTCAGGAGATTGAGCCCTGCTGACAGTACAGAGCCTGCTTGGGATTCTCTCTCTCACCCCTCCCTCTCTGCCCCTGCCCTGCTCACTCTCTCTGTGTGTCTCTTTCAAAATAAATAAATAAACATTAAAAAAAAAAAGGCAGGACATTGGGACACAGGCCACACCATGGGTGAATCTGGGGAACATTATGCTAGCTCAGATAAGCCAGTCACAGAAGGACCAAGACTGTGTGAATCCACTTCTGTGAGGTAGGTCCCTAGAGGAGTCAAATCCACAGAGACAGAGAGCGGACCGGGCGGGGCACCAGGGCCTGATGGAGGCGGAGGGGGGATCCTGTTCAATGGGGACAGAGTTTGGGTTTTGCAAGATGAAAAGGCTCTGGAGACAGACAGTGGGGACGGCTGCACAGCAGTGGGAATGTGGGGGCGCCTGGGTAGCTCCGTCAGTTCAGCGTGAGCTCGTGAGTTCGAGTCTCGCTTCGGGCTCTGTGCTGACGGCTCAGAGCCTGGAGCCTGCTTCCGATTCTGTGTCTCCCTCTCTCTCTGCCCCTCCCCTGCTGGCTGTCTCTCTCTCAAAAATAAACATTAAAAATTTTTTTTTAAAAATTCTTTGACCTCATGCAGCTCCAGCTCCTTCTCGCTCGTCCTCTTGTAAGACAGCTTTATAAACACTGTCTTGACCCAGTTCGGAGGCCGGGGGCTAGAGGCCAGTCCGGCCCCCTTCTTGAGCAGTGGTCAAGCCCACACGCCCACCACCTCGTGCATGTGGCTCTCACACGCTGAGCCACTATGCACCTGCCCTCAGCCCTCAGGGCCGGGTGCCTGACAACCAGAGGCAGCCCTTACACCCCGGAGCTTGCCCAAATCATTGCACTGGCCTCCAGGTACCCATTCCTTCCCACGGAAACCATAACTAAGGCTCTTGCCCACCATTGTCCCCACCTCCCCTGCCTCCCGACTGAGACCGTGTGACTTACTGAGGACTCCCCTCTTGGGATCTGTTGCCTTTATCACACCTAAGCAACAACAAAGCCTGTTAACAAAGCCCGTGCACGTTTAAACTGCTCACACACACCAGTTTTCTCTGCTTCTTTTCTCCACATCACCAATGCCTGGTGTCTGCAGCACCACTCCACAGGGGAGTGACCCCTTTCCCCAAAGTCCCCCTATCCTATTTGCCTCCTTATCTCCAATTCTTTTTTTTTTTTAATTTTTTTAATGTTTACTTATTTTTGAGAGAGAGAGACAGAGCATGAGTGGGGGAGGAGCAGAGTGAGAGGGAGACACAGAATCGGAAGCAGGCTCCAGGCTCCGAGCTGTCAGCACAGAGTCCGACGCGGGGCTCAAACCCTCGAACTGGGAGATCATGACCTGAGCCGAAGTCAGACGGACGCTCAACCCACTGAGGCACCCAGGTGCCCCTCCTTATCTCCAGTTCTAAGGGCCGCCTCTCAGTCCATCCTTGGAGGGATGGCTCAGCAACATTTAGCTCTGCTCCTGTCTTCTTCCTGGACCCGCTTCCCCCACGTGACACTCTGGTGCCACTCTGCTCAGTCGCCGAGATACCCAACATTCTCTAAACGCTCCAAGCATGCTCCTGCCCCAGGGCCTTTGCACCTGCTGGTCCCTCTTCCTGGAACGCCATTTCCCAAGATGTGCACATGAGTCTGTGCACAAATGACTTCCTCTTAGTCATCTTCTTGGTATGGCTTTATCTGGACAATTTTCTACAATTTTCTCTAATTTTAACACCCTATCTTAAATATTCTTCTACCTTTTCTGGGGCGCCTGGGTGGCTCAGGAGTTTAAGTGTCCAACTCTTGCTTTCAGCTCAGGTCACGATCTCACGGTTGGGAGATGGAACCCCGCGTTGGGCTCTGTGCTGGGCATGAAACCTGCTTGAGATTCTCTCTCTCACTCTCACTCTCTTGCTCTCTCTGCCCCTCCCCCGCTTGCACTCTCTCTCAAAAACAAAAGGAAAAAATAATAAAATAAAATCGGCTTCTACCTTTTCTATCGCCACTTCTTGCTCTACTGCCTCCTGTATCACAACCTCTATTATCTTGTTTATTAATGATTTTTTTGTGCTCGATTGTAAGCTTCACGAAGGCAGGAATCTTTATTTCTCTCACGGTGTCCTCTGTGCCTAGAACAGTGCCTGACACATGATACACGTGCTGAGTGAATCTTTTGTTGGAGGCACATAATCCCAGAGCTGGAGTTGGTTCCAGAGCCCCTGGCCCAGGCTGGAGGGGGGCGATGAAAGGCTTGTGATCCTTGGGGCAGAGAGCATTGCGTGTCGGGGTTCACTGAGCCCACCCGTTGACCTATCCGGTGACCAGCAAGCACCCCTCGATTTGACCTGACAGTGCTTCTTCCAGATGCTTCTCCAACACTTTCTGCTTACCTGGAGCCCAGAACCTTGGGTGCCGGTTTCCTCTGGCTCTTCTTGTGCCTGGGAAAGAGACATTGGAACAGAAGGCTTGGGGGGGTCAGGCCGGAACAGGGATCCTCACCCTCTCCCTGCCACCCCGTCCCCACCCGAAGACAGCCAGTCAGCCCTGTGACGAGTCCCACCTCTTCTTCAGGAAGAAAATCAGCAGGCCCACCAGGATGAGAAACAGGACCACACCGACGATGGCTCCGGCGATGACCCCTGGGTTAGGAAGTATGGGGACCGTTGGAGTCAGCCTCTTCCACTGGCAACCTGTCTCTCCTACCTCTGTCCTCACCCAGACTGTGACCGGAGGGCTGACAGGGCAGATGCGAGGGCAGAGAAAGGAGAGGAGAAGGCCTCTGGATAGAGCCCCACCTCCCACCCAACTTTCCCGAGGAGCCTGGTCCAAAGATATCATTTGCTCAGGTAACCTGGCTGCCAGAGTGCCTCTTCCCCTCCTTGGCCCAGATTAATGATTCTCGGCGTGGGCGATTCTGTCACCGATGTCTGGGGACATTCTGGGTTGGCACCATGGGAGTGGTGTTGCACTGGCATCCAGCAGGCAGGGGTCAGGGGCACTGCTCAACATCCTACAATGTACAGGACGGCCCCCACAGCAAAGAACGATCCATCCCCAAATGTCAGTAGGGTCAAGATTGAGAAACCACATTGACGGCATTGATGCCTCCCGCCAGAACAGAGACTCGTGTTCTCAGAGGTTCTGTTTGCTAGCAGAAGGGTACCCTTGCAGTGGTGGTGCCCATGGTCTTGGCCCCAGGCTCTAATGGGCACAGATCCCTCAGGGTCTGTCCTTAGATATCTGGTCTTGCAGCAGACTCCAGCCCACAGCCTGCCTCCATCAGCTGTCGTGGCCCCAGGATGCAGCTTCCCAACAGCCCTGGTTACGAGGACCTGTCAACAGGCTCTAGAAGGGTCTCACACAGCCCATTCCCCTAATGGACCTGGTCCCCATGGACACAGGCATCTTTCCTCTCCCTTCCAGAGACCCTCTTTGCTGCTAAGCAAGAGACATTCCTGGGCAGCAGGAACCAGAGAAGCCCAGTTGGGCATCTATCTATCATTGCCCCAACCTGCCATCTCTCTCCAGATAAAAGACGCAATCTTATAAGAGGTCCTGATTCATAGAAGGTGACAGATGGGGCCCAGTGAAGCTTATGGCCACCATCAAAGGTATATGATCAGAGTTTTACTAAGTATGAGGCCCAAACCTCTCCCAAATACGCCACCGATGAGTGGAAAATGGTGCAGTCGTGTTGGGGAAAAAAAGTTTGGTACTTCTCCAGAAGATAAACACAGAGTTAAGTACTTGATCCCACAACTCCATTCCTGGGGATATACCCAAGAGAAAGAAAGTTCCTTTCTGCACAGGAATGGGTACATGAATGTCCATAGCACCATTACTCGTAATAGCCAAAGACTGGAGACCACCCAACGGACCCATCCACAGACGAACGGATAAACGAAATGTGGTCTCTGCATACAGTGGAATATTATTTAACAATAAAAGGCAATGAAGCACCGATACGTGCTACAACATTGATGGACCTTAGAAATGGTACAGCAGGTGAGAGAAGCCGGCCACCAAAGACTGATGACATACATCACAGAAGGATGATGATATTTTTAGGAGACGTCCAAAACAAGCAAATCTATAGAGACAGAAGATAAATTTGAGATTACCGAGGCCAGGTTGGTGGGGAAGTGAGGGAATTAGGGGCTGATGGTGTAAGGAGGTGATTTTTCTTTAGTGAGTAATGAAAATAGTGTAAGAGTGAAGGGTTGGCCAAGTCCTGTGGGTGTAGTGAAGCCATTAGCTGTACACTGTCAGTGGGTGAATTTTATGGTATGTGAATTATATCTCAAGAAAGCGGTTTTGAAGAAAGCAGCAAAGAAAGCAAACAGGGAAACACAAAGGACCCCTTGTGTAGGTAAGACTCCTTCACAACAGAGCCCGATGGGATCTAGAGAGCCTTTCACCGTAGCTCTGTCCCCGTGGGGATCTGCTTACCTGCATTCTCCGTGTGGCAGGTCACAGGGGCAGACGGGGCCCTCATTCCATCCCAGATGGTGGTGACGGTGGCTGGGTAAGACTGAGCTGGCTGGAGATCCCACACAGACACGCCCCTCCCACAGGACGATCCATTCTGGCAGTCCCGCTGTCCACCCACCTGCAACTCAAAGGCCTCGTAGCCTCCCACGGGGCAGGACCAGGTCAAGATGACCCCGTGGCCCCCAGAGGTGCTGATGCAGGAGGTGATGGTGACTGGGCTTGGGGCTGGGTGGAGGGGACAGGAGGAGTCAGTAGGAGCCATACAGGGTGCCTTTCCATCTCCCCACCCTACCCCCACTTCCCGCCGCTGGTGCCAATTCTCTGAGAACTAGAACATCCTTTCCCTCCCAAAACCAAAACACCTCTCTTCAGCTCTCATTTTCTGTCCTCTCCCAATGGACACGCAACAGATCCCTTCGGACTACCACTCCCATGAGGCCTTGGGCTCTCTGTATCACTGCAGCTTAGCAAGGCATGACCCCATGGCCTGATGGGATTTGGAGTCCACTCCCCTCCCATCGCCCCAAGGTCCAACCTCAGCTCCCACAAGGTAGAAGGGGGCCCATCTCACCTGTGGATGCAAGGAGGCTCTGCGCATAACTGGTCACCTTGTTCCTGTCTGCCCATACGCTGAAGGTGTACAGAGTCCCGGGTTCCAGGGTCTGCACCTCATACC